AAAACTTCGTTTGAGTGGCTCAGTATCTAGAAATGTCATGAGATCACATCTACATCCAGTTAGTTATTGAATACATATTGAATCTAAGTTGTTGAACACATATTGGACCGTGGGAATTTGAAACCTCTTTGGAACACCACTGCATTGGGAAATCGCTCGCCTGCTTCAAGAGGAGCCACAGCCTTGACTTTGGGGTTTTCTGTCCATTTCTGAAAATGTTCAAAATCCCTATGTGAAACAAAATCCCTTTTATACCCATAGAAATATGTTATGGCCCAAGAGTAAGAAGTTGGGTTCTTCTTGTTTGTTTAAATGTCAAGAGAATTTAGGACTGTCTTTGCAATGGTTAAAGTCATCATGGAGTTAGAGAAAATTGGTTTGGGATATCTGACATTCCATTACTGGAATGTGCTCCTGCCTTTTGAGGATGACTAAGCAGATAACTGAGGGTGTGGCCTGGGGCTGACCCCAGGGTACCTTCCCTCTGGGGAAAGGCATTTTCTCCTAACAGTGAAAATGGGGCATTCCTATGTGGAGCCTCCTACTGGCTATGAAAATTATGGCCCTTGGAAGCTTGGTAGTTTTACAAACCAATAAAATAAGGAATAGAGAAAGGGATTGTACAAGATTGCCAATACAGACAGACAGCTGTTAGCATTACCCTTCCCTGAAAAAAGATCATTTGATACACAAAAATAGGAAAGATATACTCCACAACGTGAAGGATGGTTCTTAAAGTGGAATAACTGAAAATCGCCTTGCTTCCTCTATGGATTTTTGTTGGTATTCAGGAGTCATAGCAGGTAAGGCTGAGAAAGCCAGATTCCCTTTGAGGCATTCCTACTTTTAGACTGCATTTATGGGAGGCTCTCTTAAGAATGATGCAGAAGTTATATGGGAATTAGGGAGTAGTTTGTAAATACAAATTTATTATCTTTCACACATAGAACATGGGGAACTGGAGAGACGGTTCAGTGATTAACTGCACTGGCTGTTCTTCCAGAGGTCCCCAGGTTTAATTCCTGGCACCCACATGGTAGCTTCCAACTGGCTGTAACTGTAGTTCATGCCCTCTTCTGGTATGCAGACATACACACAGACAAAACAGCTATACACATAAAATAATAAATAAGTCTTAAAACAAATAAAACAGAGAGAGAGGAGAGAAAGCGTGAGAGAGTGTGTGTGTGTTGAAGTAAGGGAACGAGTACATGCTGACTGTCTAGGGGATGCTCTGTCTATACAATTTAGTTTTTTATTCTAAGCGATGAATTTTTTATTATACTTTTTATTATCAGTACATCCCGTCTCCGCCTAATGAGCCTGGATTCTGAGTGTGTGCACTGTGTCTTCCCTGGCTTTCTATCTCTTATGTAGAGCACACACAGGGGACCCGGATACGTTCGTGTTGGGTCACCGCAGGGCAGATGTGTCTTGAGTCTGTAAATGCATCACTCCTTGTCGGCTGAGATGTGTGCTGCGGAGCTTACAGATGAATGTGGAGATGTCATTAATAACCTATGTATTCACTCCGGAGACACCAAGGAAACGATCCAGAATACTAGATGAATTACAGATGAGTCAAGTTTCTGCCCTGCCGTCTGAACGCCACATATATGCATTGCTTGTGCCAGATGGCCTACTCTTAGGTCTGAAATGGGGGACTCCCGTGGGATAGGAACACACTCTTCGGCCCTTTCTTTTTGCCCCCCTCTAAAAGGAAGACATATCGTCAAGGTGGTTACAGATCCCTAGAAGGCACATGGCCCCTCACCTGAAGTTTACCAAACGTTACTTAGAGAACATTCATGTTTCATTTTACGGTGTTAATAAATTCAGATCATTTGTTATGAGATAGCCCAAACTAAGATAATCATTAAAGTTACTGTTGCTTTTAGAAACACACAGATGACCTTTGGAGATGGAAACCAATTGCTGGTTTCCCTGTAGGTTTACTCTGCAGCCTCAGAAAGAGCAGAAGTTAGAAGATTTTTTGTTGTTGTTTAAGACTGTTCTCTTTATGGAGCCCAGGCTCTCTCATAGAGCTCCCTCTGCCTACAGAGTGCTGGGATGAAAAGGCCTGTGGGGGGTTAGAAGACTTCTATTTGAATTCTTGCTGGCAAATTGCTTAGTTCTTTGAGCTTATGCTTCATTTAGATGCAGGTAGAATATGTTCTCTCTCCACCTGAGGGTTTAACAAAATGATATTATGCATGAGAATACTCTGTGAAACAGCACACAAAAGTGTGGTATATGGTTTCAACAATTAACATTTTGTATCTTGGATCCATGAGAGGTCTCTCTTGGGCTGGCAAGATGGCGTTGTGCGTAAAAGTGTTTGCTGTGCAAATCCGATGATCGGTGTTCGATCCCCTGAGCCCAGGTAAAGATAAAACTGTCCACCAGGTTGTCCCCTGACCTCCATTGGTACAGACACGCATCTGTACCAATGCACACACACACACACACACACACACACACACACACACACACGCACACACACACACCCCTTAATCCTATAGGTTAATTTTATTCCTAGTCACACCACACTGTTAGGGTCCAGTTAGAACTTGTCATCGGGAGCACTATGCGAATAAGGTCCAAACATGTTAACACAAGGGTTGCCCATTAGTAGATACAAAATTTGTGGTTTAATGAAAGGCCACCGGTGACATTTTTAGGCTCTCAGGTATTTATATACTTCTTCACACCCTGATTTAGAGAAGTCTGAACTTGTATTAAAAACAGCAGATATGTGATTAATTTCTTTGTGTTTTATTTTTAATTTGAAAGGGCCTTAACATCATGATTATTAGGTTGGAAGGTTTTGCAGTTCTTACGTGAGGGCTGCTGTAGTGTATGTTGAATAGCTGGGGTTGATGGGAATCCCTGGCTCTCCGAGTAAGACTTTTCATCCTTAGGTAATGTGTATATGGGGGAGGGGGAGATACGTTGGTAATTTCGCCCTTGATTTAGAAGTGGACTGAGTACTGGTTTCACAGCCTATGGTTCCTTTAACTTCTGATTCCTTGGGTCTTCTGGAAATGTGAGGATGGCTTTGCAGTACGTGGTTGCCTAGGATGGTCTGAGAACATAATTACCATTCCTGACTTAAAAGGCGTGAAATGAGACGTGTAATAGATGTAAAGACGGGGAATTTTCCCCTCTCACCTAGGTTAGACGTTAAAATCAGTAAGTAATGCTGGAGAGCAGAGAAATAGCCAAAGAATGTCACAAATACGAACATGACTGCTCCACTCTGTCCCCATAGCCGGTTCTCAGCTAGCAGCAGCAGCTGCTGAAACACCCAGCCTTTTAAATACCCCTCACATCCACCCAATGGCACATGCCTTCCTCGGCATTCTAATCCTGGCTTTCCGTGTTCTCAGGCAACGCTGGACAAATTGATGGCATCTATTTCTGTCTCCTCTGCACATAGGCATTATAATAGCCCCCCTTCATCAGGGCAGTTGTATGGATTTGATTAACATGTAAAATATCAAGCAGAGCTGGAACCTGTACTATTTAAGAATTAAGCAATATTAATATCAGTGTTGTTCTTCTAAAATTTAGTTTATGGATCTATTCAGGGTCATTGGGCATGATCTATTATTGCTAGGAGAGTTGAGTTTTCCTATCTCCAAACATTTTATTTAGTAAAAAACGAAAACTGGAAAAAAAAAGTCCATGTTTCAAAACATTCCACTCGGGCCTGTAAAGTCCATTAACTTGTGCAGTGATCTGTATTTGCTGTTAATGTGAATGAGATGGCACGGTGGGGGCAGATGGGGTAGCATTTTTCCTTCGGAGCCAGCAGCGACCCTGATGCATGGCTTGTGCGTCACTGATGCAGACATCAGACACAGATGTGACCTGTGCGAGTGAACGAGTTGTTACAAGTAGAAACTTCAGTCACTTCAATAAAAAATAACCTGACAGCCCCATACCCCGGGGAGGGTAACTGCATCATAGTCTCCTGAGCCAGTGACTGGGAGAGAAAATGAGAAGACACATACTATGTATTTGAGCCCATAAACACAACTAAACCCTTTTACATAGGGAAGCGTTGTTAAGGCATATGGGGCAAATGATAAGATGTCTGTGGTATTTAATTATTCCTTTGGCAGGTTTTTGTTTGGTTTTTCTCTTTTCTTTTTCTTTCTTTTTTTTTTTTTAATTTAAGACAGGGTCTCGCTATATAGCCCTGGTTGGCCTTGGAACTCACCACATAGACCAGGCTGGCCCCATATAGATCCATCTGTCTCTTCCTCCTGAATGCTGGGATTAAGACGTGTGCCACCATGCCTGGCTCTTCAATAGGATTTGATGCCTGTTTTTCAGCACAGTTCAAGTGATGGTATTAATTTTACTGTGGCTTTTGTATTTTAGTTGCCTTTAAAAAGCTGTAGTTTATCGGGTATACCAGATGGTTCATAGACCCGAAACCCCCCCCCCCCCCCCAAATGACTGTGCATTTTGGTTGTATAGCATAGAAATTTGTTTTATGGATTTTTTTTAAAAAGTTATCTCTTGGTATCAAGGTTCTTTCCTTTGCTTCTGGTGTCATTTCTGATTTGCCACCTGGTATGTCCAGCTCCTGCTCGCTAGAACTGTTTCTGACAAACATGCTAAGTGAAAGTCCTCCTTCGCTGGAAGCCTTGCTACACATGGGTGGCCCGTAGCCCAGCAGCATCCACACCAGTGTTTGGGAAATGCAGACTCACGCAAACCTTCCTTCAGACTGGCTGAGTGAGAATCCACACTTAAGGTTCCCGGGTTATCTGTGTGAACTCGCGAAGCCTCGCCTAGCTAATCACCTCTGTGTTCATTTCTCTATTTAGAGATCTCTTGCTTCCAAATTGTGCTTGCTGTGTTCTGGGTTATATAGCATGTCAAAATATTTTGCCTTTAGAGATGCAGAACATAATTACAATGTCTACAGGTGTTTTAGTGTTTGTCAGTAGGCTGAATTGGTGAACATTTTCTTTTCTCTCCTCTAGGACATTTCTGGAGAGCTTAGAAGCGTTTCCACCATGGAATCCATCTCTATGATGGGAAGCCCCAAGAGCCTGGAGACTTTTTTGCCTAACGGCATAAATGGTATCAAAGATGCCAGGAAGGTCACTGTGGGCGTGATAGGAAGTGGGGATTTTGCCAAGTCTCTGACCATTCGGCTTATTAGGTGTGGCTACCACGTGGTCATAGGAAGCAGAAATCCGAAGTTTGCGTCTGAATTTTTTCCTCATGTGGTGGATGTCACCCACCATGAAGACGCTTTAACAAAAACAAATATAATATTTGTGGCCATCCATAGAGAACATTACACCTCCTTGTGGGACCTGAGACACCTGCTTGTGGGCAAAATCCTGATTGACGTCAGCAACAACATGAGGGTAAATCAGTACCCAGAGTCCAACGCCGAGTACCTGGCTTCACTCTTCCCGGACTCACTGATTGTCAAAGGATTTAATGTCATCTCAGCTTGGGCTCTTCAGTTAGGGCCCAAGGATGCCAGCCGCCAGGTATGTGTGGCCTTGAATTACCAAGTTCAAAGGCATCTGAGGGTTGTGGGAAAAGGACCTTTTTGTTTTCACTCCTAGAGACAATTATGGGGTTGGAGAGATGGCTCAGCAGTTTAGAGAAGGTGCTGTTCTTGCAGAGGACAGGAGTTTGGATCTCAGCACCCACACTGGGTAGCTCACAACTCCCTGTAGCTCCAACTCCAGGCCTCTGAGGGCAACTACCCTCGTGTGCACAAACACACACAACAGATCTTTTAAAAAGATAGTCAAGTCCATTTCTTATTTGGTGAATGCTTGATCATTTTATTCTATGGGTTAGAGTCATGAACTCTATATTGGGTACCTGCTACTACTATGACACGAGTGCCTGGACTTAAGTGAGAAAGATTTACTTTGCTCACAGTTTCAGAGGACTCAGTCCATCGTGCTGGGGAAGAATGATGGAGCAGAGCTGTTCATGCAGTAGAGGGCAGAACGCAAAGAAAGGGTGACGCCACCAGCCTGCTGGCTCCCTCCTTTCTCCTTTTGTTCATCCTGGCCCCCAGCCCATGGGATGGTTGACCCACCCTTCAGGGTGAGTCTTTTCCTCCCTGGTTAACCCTCACTGCATCCAGAAGTGCGCATCGCCTTCCCTTAGTGATTTCAGGTTCAAACACGTTGACAAGACTGGCCGTTACAGTAACTGCCCACTTCAAGTCTGTCTGTCTGTCTGTCTGTCTCCCTCCCTCCCTCTTTCCCTCCTTCCCTCCCTCCCTCCTCCCTTCCTCCCTCTCCCTCCCTACCTCCCTCTTCCTTCCCCCCTTCTTGCTTTCAGTTTTTTGAGACAGTCTCATAGTTTGGTTCACTCTGGCCTCCACCTTGTGGGGCTTTCCCAAAGACGGAGATTTACAGTCATAAGCCACCACACCCTACTCAAGTATTTAAAGCAGTACACGCTTTCCCCATCCCTCTGTGTTATAGATCAGATCAGGGACCTGATCGTGGACCCCACTCCCGCTTCTAGAAACAGTTTTTCCTTTCTTTTTAAGGAACATATCCTGTAAAATTGGCAAATTTGAGCCAGGGCCTCTGAGACAAAGTTGACATAATCCCTTGCTCATATTCATGATCATTTTAATTTTTAATGGAAAAACCCTCATGGAACAGTGATTAAATTCAAATTCAGAATGAGCTACAAGCTCCATCATGACAAGAGCCAGATAATTGGTACTTCATCATGGCTGGATGACGAGCAGTCATCAGTTTTGAATGCTTCAGTTATAGCTCTAGAGTTATTATAATATCTTATCATTTATAGCCTTTTCTCAAATAAAAAAAGGTCATTATAATGTTATTATTTATAGACTTTTCTCCATGTAGGAAAAAAGGTTTTTTCCACCATTTCACACCTGCAATAAATTAGTAAGTTTTTCTTATTTCTTTGCTATAAAAGAGCTCCCATTTTTGGAAATCCATATTTGTTTACCAGCACCGAGTTTATCATTGGTTCATAAAGCTGGCTACCGTCAGCTGAGAGTCAAAGCCTGAAAGCTGGGCTCCGTATTGACTCCTTCGTGTAAATAGGTTTAGCAGGCAAACACTTCCATATGGCCTCATTCAGAGCCTGTGCACAGATGTCTTCAGGGTATATCTGGAAACTTGTTTTCCTCAAACTACACCAGAGACTTTGTATCAATATTTTTCTAGCTCGGAGTGAGATGATCTTCCTGTTCATAGTAGTAGCTCACTCCAGCACTGAACTTGCAGCAACAGAAACTTGTTGAATTTTTTACTATATCACAGTATCAGAGGGGTTTCAAAGCCTCCTCACCTTTACCTAGGACATCATTAGAGTTCCTGTAGAGATGACGGCCTCCTCACCCTACCTACGACATCATTAGAGTTCCTCCTATAGAGATGACGGCCTCCTCACCCTACCTATGACATCATTAGAGTTCCTGTAGAGATGATGGCCTCCTCACCCTACCTACGACATCATTAGAGTTCCTATAGAGATGACGGCCTCCTCACCCTACCTACGACATCATTAGAGTTCCTATAGAGATGACGGCCTCCTCACCCTACCTGTGATATCATTAGAGTTCCTATAGAGATGAAGGCCTCCTCACCATACCTACAACATCATTAGAGTTCCTCCTATAGAGATGACGGCCTCCTCACCCTACCTACGACATCATTAGAGTTCCTATAGAGATGACGGCCTCCTCACCCTACCTACGACATCATTAGAGTTCCTGTAGAGATGATGGCCTCCTCACCCTACCTGTGATATCATTAGAGTTCCTATAGAGATGACGGCCTCCTCACCCTACCTACGACGTCATTAGAGTTCCTCCTATAGAGATGATGTGTTTATTCTTAGAAAATGGCAGGCTCTTGATGTTTAAGGCAGTAGCCTGACCGAATCATCGTTTTACTTGCGAAGAATTATCAAAACAAGGAAAAAGTTTTATATGCTCATCGATAAAACAGTGTACCTGGAATTATTCAAGTGTTTACAGATACTCAATGAATTGATCTCTCAACCTAAAGGTTGATGTTATAAGGAGTCCAGCATCACGACACAATTTGTACCTTTTACTTGAGAAGGCCACCCCTGGAGCCCGTGCCCGTCTGCACACTGGCTGGATCACTGTGAAGGGCAGTGCTTTCCGTTGCTCTCTGAGGCAGAATCTCTACATTCCCAGAACTAAAAGGTGCCCACAGAAGCAAGGAGATCCGGCCTCACACTTAGAAAGCTGGGTTGGGAGGAGATGGCCACAGAGTCCTCTGGGGGAGGGGTATGCCTTCCTTTTCAGCTGCTGCTGACCCACGTGCCCCAGAAAGCAGACCTTCTCCAGCAGCCTCCCTCTCGTGAGAACCTCTCTGCGCCTTCCGGGTTGCAGCTAGGTTCTCTGCACTTTTTCATCGTGGGGTAAATACTTTTGTGCTTTTATGGCACTGTTCTAAGTCTGTCTTTTAAGATACTAATATATCTAACCATAATGTGGTACTTTTGATTGATTAATTCATTGTTAAGATACTGTTTTAAAACAATACCTATGGTAGTATTTGTCTGTTTAATAACTTACAGGTAATCCCCTTTTCTCATCCTCGTTCTCTGGCATCGTTAGCAGCTATTAAAGAAGGCACCACAGATAGAGGACAGTTTGCGACTTCTACAAACAGCGGCGGTAACAAGCCTTTTGGGTTTTCTTGCAGGTCTATATATGCAGCAACAACATCCAGGCTCGACAACAGGTTATTGAACTTGCCCGTCAGTTGAATTTTATTCCTGTTGACCTGGGATCCTTATCATCAGCCAAGGAGATTGAAAATTTACCCCTGCGACTGTTTACTCTCTGGAGGGGACCAGTGGTCGTAGCCATAAGCCTGGCCACATTTTTCTTCCTTTATTCCTTTGTCAGAGATGTGATACATCCGTATGCCCGGAACCAGCAGAGTGACTTTTACAAGATTCCTATTGAGATTGTGAACAAAACCTTGCCTATAGTCGCCATTACTTTGCTGTCCCTGGTGTACCTGGCGGGCCTCCTGGCAGCTATGTATCAGCTTTACTACGGCACCAAGTACCGCAGATTCCCACCGTGGCTGGATACCTGGCTGCAGTGCAGGAAGCAGCTGGGACTGCTGGGCTTTTTCTTTGCTGTTGTCCATGTGGCCTACAGCCTCTGCTTGCCGATGAGAAGGTCAGAAAGATACTTGTTTCTCAACATGGCTTATCAGCAGGTACTGCACATGCTTGTTACTCCTCTGGCTCTAGCGGCCTACCTTAGGAACTGTAAAATCTGAGTTAAGACAGTGTCAATTTATATGTACTTAACGGCATTTTTCTCTGGGGATATTTAGGGAGCAGAAGTACTGTTTTTATTTTTACCCGCATCTGCTGCTCTTCTGGATAGCCGATATTAGAGAGGAGTATGTTTTGTGGGGGTTGTTTTGTTTGAGACAGGGTCTCAGTATGTAGCCCTCACTGGCCTGGAACTTGCCATATAAACCAGGCTGGTCTTGAACTCACGGAGACCTGCATGCCTCTGCCTCTTGAGTGCTAGGATTAAAGGAATGAGCCACCACACTCAGTGGCCAGGAATTTAGCTAGAGCTTTTTCAGCATAGAAGCTCAGCGATGTTGGTGGGAGTAGCTTTTTTTTTTTTTTTTAAATATGACTATGCCTTGTTAACTGAAACTGGACAGAGTTGAGATGGTAATAAGAATGTGCTTTTTCTCCACCATAGATACACACTTAAATCAAATCTTCAGTGGAAGGAGTCCAACTCTTAACTTATGCCCTAATTGTATTCTCTATAGGTAAATAGATAATACTAAAAGTATTTACTCTGCAAATTGCCAGAAATTCACAGTTAAGTCAGACTTGATTAATATGCATTAGCAACATACTGGTTAGGGTTTGGAGAAAAATACTGCAAATGGAAGAAGCAGTTGGGAGTTGGGAAGGTCTGTTAGTGAGTCGTTCAAGTGGACGGAGTTCAGCTCCACACAACTTATCCTGAAGCAATTTTGGTTTCCAGAAGAGAAGGGTTAAGAAGACAGAGGCATTGAAGGTAGTGTAGAATCCCTAGTTAAATGCTGTAGAACATACCCCAAACATCAGCCACATGTATACAAACCTGAAAAAGCATCCTGGCATCTGACAACAAAGACTTCTTTTCTGTCACTTGAGAACCAGTCAGTTGGTGTTCCATGGCCTTGGACTCAGGGCCTCTGCAGTAGTGACTCAGTTTGGACATGGCTTGTTCCCCTCTTTACATGCTGGAAGAGGTGGGAGGTCTTTGTCCTGTTTTGATTTAACATTCTCTCCCCTTTTCTCTACATCTGGGATGATACTATGAGCAGATTCTCCACAATGGTTCATTGTACTGATTGAACACTATTAGTCTTAAACATAGTCAAAAGTGGCCTGGTTCTTTTTAGGCCAAGAGTAAGCGGTACATAGTCTGTGAAGTAAAGGAAACTTCTTTTCTTGTTAGGTTCATGCGAATATTGAAAATGCCTGGAATGAGGAAGAGGTTTGGCGAATTGAAATGTACATCTCCTTTGGTATCATGAGCCTGGGCTTACTGTCCCTCTTGGCAGTCACTTCAATCCCTTCAGTGAGCAATGCCTTAAACTGGAGGGAATTCAGTTTTATTCAGGTATGTGGGGTTTTGTTTGGTAACACGTCGGACAGCATAGAATTTCACTGTTAAGTTCAATGTTAAATTTGCTCCATCTAAAAAAAGTGCCTTTGAGGTCATAGCTGCTTATCCAGTTCAGGCAGCACACATGGCTGGAGGCCAGACTATACTATATATCCTGGTTAGAAAGGGAAAGGCATCATAGCAATGTCTGTTATGTTGTAGAATAAAAGGAGAGAAGTGGGTTTAGGTCATATTTAATGTTCAAAGTCAATTTACTTTGATTTATTTTTTAAAAAAGATTTACCTCGATGAGCGTTTTGCTCACGTGTTTTTATCTGGGTAACATGTGCATGTCATGTTCACAAAGGTCAGAAGGTGTCAGATCTACTGGATCGGAAGGTTTGGACCAGTTGTGAGCCACCGTGTGGGTATTAAAAATCAAACGAGGTCCTCTGAGCCATCTCTCCAGTCCCGAAAAGTCAGTTTATTGTTAGTGAAATGAACTCACATGCACATACGTGATCACAAACGCAGTTAAACTAGATAATGATGCTAATGGGTTGTGACAGCCAGCTGCATCTGTGAGTCGTTAACGTTTTACTATGTCAGTCTTACATCAATGCCCAGGAAATCAAAGAACACTTGTGTTCTTTAAAAGGTTAAATGTTAGCCTCCATTAATATCTGTATAACATATTTACATATTTTAAATATGTATAAAATTTGGCTTCTAGTGATATGGTCACAATCTGTACTTTTTGATCCAAATGGTATATAGCACAATATATACAATATATATATAGTAGAGTCATTTGACTGTACTGTATTTTATTCCTTGCCTAGCGATGTGTTTGTCTGTTTTTTCCCAGAGGAGCAGGGAGGTGTTATGACAGGATTTCTCTATGTGGTATTGGCTGTCTTGGAACTAGCTCTGTAGACCAGGCTAGCCTGAAACTCAGAGAGATCTACCTGCCTCTACCTCCCAAGTGCTTGGTTGCTTGAGGAAATTTTTTTTTCCTTTTCAGGGTTTTTGAAACAAGGTTTCTCAGTAGCTATGGAGCCAGTCCTGGAACTAGCTCTTGTAGACCAGGCTGACCTCGAACTCACAGAGATTTGCCTGTCTCTGCCTCCCGAGTGCTGGGATTAAAGGCATGTGCCACCATCACTCAGCATGAGGAAATTCTTAAAGAATATTTTTATATATTCTTTGAAAGAGCCAAGTTTTATACAATGTATTTTTCTTATATCTACTCCCTGCTACTTCCCTCCAGCTCACCCATTTTTCACAGTCATGCAAAAATCTTATTCAAATGAAGGACAATCCTTGTCCGAATTCATTTTCTCCCTTTGAAGAAAGGAGACCAGGCAGTTTCCCAACCCCTAGTTACACACCTGAAAGAAAAGAGAAGGCTTTCTGATGGGAGGTTCTGGCCAGACACCCATCATCACAAAGCTAGACCACGAGTTGCGAGCATCTTGCCTTGTAGGGACCAACATTTTCCTAGTGAACTCAGATATTACATCGCTATACTGATGAACTGTTAGTTTTCTGTGCTGTAACTAGTTGTCAAAGTAAGTAACCTTAAACGTAGTCACTTAGAGAAGTGAAAGTAATCTCTTAACCTATAAATGACGGACTAAACTACTGTTTTTAGTCGTCAATTTGTTGTCCCCACATGCTTGAATTGTTACTAGTCTTACCATATTTTCTTATTAACTACTATCCATGTAAGACCATTATATGCATTCTCAAAAGATCACTTTTTGGTATTTAATTATATTTGTGCACATACCTGTATGTACCTATACACACACTACCATGGTTTTATACACAGTAGTGGTGGATAACCCCCACCACTATTTTGATTATTTGTTTGTGGCAGAGTTTCTCTATATAGCCCAGGCTGGCCTCAGAATCACGACGTAGATCAGGCTGGCACTGAACTTGCAATTCTCTCTCCTTGTCCTCCCTCGTGCTGAGGTTGCAGCCATGCGCCACTGCGACAGCTGCAAAGCATTTGGACACCATGCACGTCTGCACCATTAGAGAAAAAGCTAGACGTGCTGATCAGTGAGCCCAGCAGCAGAATCAGCCCTAAATAAATAAACCAACATAAACAAAAATATAAATGGTACGGTTGATGGTTAAATAAATTTGGGATCAGAGTGATCTACGCAAAGGCATGATTGTACATAGCCATTCAATATAACATTGCACAATATTAATGATATGCTTTTATTTTTAATGGCATAGGAATGCTTGTGTAAACTAGATTGACTAATGAGACTAGTCAGTGTGTGCACTGTGGTCTGATATGTGCAAGATTGGAGCACTGCAGATAAGTGCTTATGAAATTTGTGAAAACTGTCTTCAATTGCTTAATTTAAGTGATAGCAGGTCAAGTCCCAAGATTAAACATAAGCAGGGTGTCTGCATAGGTTGCTACGTGGAGAGTAATGTATCTCCTTTCCTTCCTCTGCCTCAAGTCTACACTGGGCTACGTTGCTCTGCTCATCAGTACTTTCCACGTGTTAATCTACGGATGGAAACGCGCTTTTGCCGAAGAGTACTACCGGTTTTACACACCGCCAAACTTCGTCCTGGCGCTTGTCTTACCCTCGGCTGTAATTGTGGGGAAGACGGTTTTACTCCTCCCGTGCATAAGCCGAAAGCTAAAAAGAATCAAAAAGGGCTGGGAAAAGAGCCAGTTTCTAGAAGAAGGCCTGGGAGGACCAGTTCCTCATCTGTCCCCAGAGAGGGTCACAGTGATGTGAGGAGAAGGGGGGCTCACTGACACCGTACCCACCTCCGCTCATGCCATCATGGACACCCCCTCCACGCTCCCTGTACGTGGACTGCCCCTCTGCTGCAGTAGGAAACCTGGCAAGCGAGGTGTCAGCTGAACGGGGATAGCATTTTCTCCAAGTTAATTTTTATAAGTGTCATATTTTGCCAACATGAAATTTTGTAGCCCACATGTATTGTTCCAATCTAGGAATGTTTTCTTTTTCTGCAACCGTAACGGAATCATTATTTTAACTATATTGCACAATAAGGCAGAAATATTTGTAGCTGATCATATAGAACATTTGGAATACTTGGCAAACCAGCAGAATTTGAAACTTGCAATATTACTGAGTGAGTATGCTTTTTCCCTGAGGCTAAAGATTTTAATTATCACCCACTTTAAGAAGCAGAAATGCATAATTAGGTATTATTGAGGGACATACCATAATAGTATGTAGGGTGCACAGGCGCAGTCTTATACTTTCATCAGATGGAACTGGAACGATGCCATCAGTTATACGAAGCCGCGAGAGAATGTGAGCACACACACATTGCACTGCAGGCATGGAGTGGATGCTGCTAACGCACAGCTCATGGGAGCTTTGTCCTCTTACGTTACAGAGCAGTGTCGTTTTCATAGCTACGTCAATCAGGGAAGACTCAGTGACTTGGTTCTCAAGCCGTTGTTTCGAGTAGAGTTCCAGCCCCAGGAACTGCAGCACTGTCCTTCACTGCAGTGGGAGCCAGGTTTGCACATTGCACGTCCGTGCGTCTTTGCTACTTTGGTCTGTCACCACTCTTCTGAGTGGGGTTTTACTGGTGTTCACTGGGGGAATGTGGCATGGTTCTGAACATTTGTCTTGTCCCCTTTAGTATTTACAACAAATCTATGAAAGGGTTACGTTATCTTTGTTTTACATATGAGGAAACAGAAGGATAGAAAAGTTCAGTTTGCCTAAGGCCCCACGGTGTGTAGGTGGCGGAGGGAGCAGTCATAGCCAGGTAGTCACCCTGCAGAAGCCGTTGCTTTGTGAGACATCAGGATATACAACCCCTGCCCCATCTCCATGCACTGCATTCATGATGTCAAGCGAGATGTTTCCTTGCTTGTATAGCCATTGGCAGTCTTTAGAGTGTGTTGTGTGCATCAATCCTAGTTTTATTATTGCCTGGGAACCCACAATAGTGCAACACCTCCCTGTGCAGTGAAGGACTGTGCGGGGAGAGGATCCGGACAGTGTGGACGAACTGCTGAGCTCCTGCAGCTCTTCAGACGTTCCCATCAGACGGCCATGTCCTTTGCTCTTCCTGGGAAGCCTTCCGGCCTTCACTACCATTCATTAGGAAGCAGTTTATGAGCATGCAGGACAACAGGACAAGTGCTAATTATAAATCCACTCCAGAGACTTAGAAGCTTATAGATTATTCATAAAATTTCTCAGTACTAGTCTTCCATGTGTGAATTGCATTTTGTTCAAACTTTGGGATATACCACATTTTCTCCATTTGTTCCTTATGCATCATAGTACAAAGTTAGAAAAGAGATGTAATTGTGTATATTCTTCCTAAAATTGTACCATTTCCAAAGTTACCTACTGACCCGAATCCAACCATCAAAAATAAAATGACTTATTTTTGTGGGAACCTGTCTTTCCCTCCAGTGTTCTTCTATTCCCGCACTGTTAGTCTGGGAAATCAGCCACTAACTCTTCAATGATTCCTTGGTGAACTGTAATATTGAACACCCCATTTCATTATATTCATAATAATCATTAATTCTTAGTAGGAATTCAGTATAGCGATGGCTTTTTAACAGTAAATACCTACAAGCTGGGTGTGGTGGCGCACAACTTGAATCCCAGCTCTCAGGAGGGAAGCGCAGGTCAGCCTGGTCTAGAGTGAGTTCCAGGACAGCCAGAGCTCTACAGAGACTGTGTCTAAGTAGATATGATCATGCACATATACCGGTACTGTCATGAGCTGATGGAAGTAGCAATGTATTTTCAATCCTTGCTTACTTCTTAAACTTTACTCTAAGACAATTTAATGTGAAAATACAATGAAATAGTTCTAAAAGTTAGGTGATTAACTACATTGTTATATATGTTAGGTAGCCCATAATATAAAGTTACCGCTATTATCCATACATAGGACTTTTGGGAATATAAAATTACATAAAGGCTACAAATATATTTCGAATGACACTTTTTCTCGGAATGCTACAAACAATGGAATAATTTTAGTTCAAGAATAAGTGTAATCCTGTCATTACAATTCTAAATGTTTAAAGGCCTCTCTCACAAAACGTATCTGTTTATTGACTTTTGGTTGCTTAATTTACCTCTTCTGTAATTTTTCTTTTTATGAATTTCCCCTAAAGGCATTTTTCTGGCTTCAGAAGTAGACTGAATGTTGTGGTTGACAAAAGTGAGGAGGTGGCAGGAGATTACCATTTAAAGAGCAGGCCTAGTGAGGCATCTCGGTGGGTAGGGCGCCTGTAGGGAGCCTGATGACTGACTGCGTCTGCCCCCCACTACGAATGTGGGGTCAGCACTGCTCCTGCGCGCTGTCCTTTGACATGACGTGCACACCCGTGTTCGCGTCTCCCTCGTGCTGCCTCTGTCTTTGTTTTTCTCTCACACACACACAAAGTAAAGGAAATATAATTTCAAATTTTTAGGGGTGGAGGTTTTAAAGAGGAGCAAAGCTTTGTTTACTAACGTATGGTTTGAGAAGTGAGAAAATGATAGGGACGTAGAAAGCATAATCTGTCTTCATCCTTTGTGAAGACAGTCATAGCTTTTCCTGTGAGGAAGAATCTCATAACATGTATCATGCTGCTTAGCCTTCCTTCAGATTTCATGTCTCCTTTATTAGGAATATTTAAAACCACCTTTTAATAGAAATGTAATCGTATCAGCATCTTTTTTAAAAGAAAATATGCTGAGATTTAGCTCAGATAATCTACATGAGATTTTTGTTTACATTTTAAGACATTAAGCATGAATAAAATTATGATTATTTATCAGAAATAATTATTTTGTATAATACAGAAGGTGGCTGATGAGTTCATGCTAAACTACCTGATTATTTTCTTATAAATTAGCTTAACTTCAAATTGACTAAAGAATTTTACTTTCAAAATTAATTTGATAATGATAAAAATGTGTTCCTACTTACATTCAAATTATGAAAATTATTTTTTATTCACAAATAGATTCAACCTGATGTACATAGTGAGTTCCAGGGCAGTCAGAGCTATGTAAAGAGACCCTGTCTCAAAAATCCAATATACATACATACATATATATATGTATATATACATATATATACTTTTTTATTATTTATATCTTATGTAATATGACAAAAGTCTTCATTTAAATTTTTATGCCATTAAGCTATTTCGTAATTATTCTATAGTGTTCCCTCCCCTAATAATCTTTATTTATAAAATTTAAGTATTTCACATGGCATTTAAAATATAGCTACTCTAAATGTATTCATAACTCTACTGTAAGCAGCTGATTATACTGCATCAGTCTGTGTATGAAGTGCTGCTCTGAAACGGGCAAGCAGAGTAAAGTAGAAATTGCTTTGTAAATTCACGACAAAACAATGTCGCATGTGTAACACACCACAGTCCCGTGTTACAGTCGCTCAACCCTGCACGGTGCAGAACGCAGTAGGACAAATCCTGGCGTACATTCAATCTTTGTAATTACCTGAAATGAAAGGTAGTGATTCTGTTCTGAACGTTACAGGAGCGAACAGGTTCTCCCGTACGTTTGATGCGACAGAATTGTGAAGTGTTTAATTTCCCGGGGTTCCAGCCCTATGTTGCTAAAACAGTGATTCTGTTGAACCCAACACGCGTTATAGGAATTGCTGGGCTGACTTTTCACTTGACAAATCACCATATTTCCCCTGCACAGATCCACAGTGAAGGCAGACCAGGAGACTTCCCAGTAGCTTAGGGTCACTCCTCACAAAAGCAGGTACAATGGCCTACTTGCAGGAAGCATTCTCCCAGGGATTTCCTTCCGAAGATCTTCACAGCTGCGCGCGTGTTCATCCTTCGCGCCTGCTTTCCCCACTCCTGAGCTGCTGACTGCTGTTCACACCTCTTGGAGCGAGGTGTCCTTGTGACTGGTCCCTGTGATGAGTGCCGGCCTCAGGACTACCAGGGAAGTGGCCTGTGTTCTTTATGGCCCCTTCCGTCTGACTAATAAGGTTGTGGATAAACATCTGTCCCCAGGGGGTCAATTCAACACTCAGAGGCAGAATCAAGGCTACTAGAAAACAGACAACTCCCTGCTGCTTCCTGTGTTTAAACAATTCTAACTTTGACTTTCTGTGTTCTGAGAAATCTAAATTTTATCCTTCCCAGTCTTTGTCACAATATTAATTTAGCATTCTCGAGTAGGTTAGATTTGTAATGATGCTTTCAAAAGATTTTAAATAATAATGTACAATTTACATTAAATTAATATTCTATTGTTAATCATACTTTTTTCCCTTTTTCTTTCATTAGCAATTTTGTATTGGCTTGTATGATTTTCTTTGTACAAATTATCCTTGTGTGTATTCATTTTTGCTAATGGCTTGTGTCCTATAAAATATTGTTTGAACAAATTGTATGCCATAATTTTGTCATTCTCCTAGATATGCCTTATAAACATTTCAATAAAAAGTATTATTTAATGTTTTAATTTTGCCTTTGTATCTTACTAATTTGAATATTTGACAGAATTCATCTAATATTTTGATCTTTAATTTTTTTTTTTATTTATTCTTTTGCCTTTCACATCATGCCTCCTGATCCCACCTTCCCCCCCCCACCACCACCACCACCAAAATAAAACAAAATCTGGAAAAGAAAGGAAGGGGAAAATCCTGTCATGGAAGCCGCAGTGTGACACAGTGAGTCACGCGGTAAACCCCTTTATCTGTCCATGTTTGTATGCAGACATTTATCATAAAGACTCATTTGTCTGGTTCAAGGCTTCTAGTCTCCGCTACATCCTCGACACTGGGCCCCCACCGGGACTGTTCCTGGGCATCCAGTTGCTGCCCTTTGGAGATCCTGCAGCCCTGGGTCCACAGGACAGACACCCCCCCATCCCCACCCCCACCCCCACACCTGCGCTCTAGCAAATCACAGAAGGGGTGGATGTTGAGGTGGGCTACACGTAACCCTGGTTTCTGGGAGTGGGTACCTAATTGCAGGGTTGGTCAGCCCACCAGCTCTCCTGTCTTCGCTGCCAGGGTGAGCTCTCCAGCATTGCCCTGCCTAGTTCACCCCTTGCAGTGATGAGTAAGGGGTGGGGTTGGCTCTCCTGCTTTCACACCCTCAGGGTCAGTGTGTCTCCCACAGGAACACCTTCAGGGCCAGCTCTTTGTTGCCCAGGTGAGGTGTGGGGGCCGCTCTCTCCAGTATTGCACCTGATGAGAGGCAGGAACAGCTCTGGGCTCTTAGGACCTCAGGGGCAGCTCTTCCATGGGCCTTCGGCACTGATGGGCAAGTGGGAGGGGCATCTCTTTCCGCCCATAAAGGGCAAGTGGGAGGGGCGTCTCCGCCCATGCTGTCACATAACAGATGCCTAATGGGGACTGCTCTCCCGTGTTCACAACTTCGGGGTTGGCTCACGCACACCTTCTGCCAACAGGGTCAGGTCTACTGTGCTGCCAAGGCGAGGTAGATGGTTCACTTTCCCGAGTGCTGGAGCTGCTATGGGAGATGGCAGAATCAACGAGGGGAGGCACCTATCCCTCATCCTCACCACCACATGGCAGATGAGGGGTGTATGGCCAGCTATCCCACTCAGGGGTACCTCACCCTTGACTCTGTCAACAGATCTCCACTATAGCAAGGAACAGGGCCCACTTTCTGGAGAGCTGCAGATGGTAAGATGAGGGTCGTCTCCCTTGTCTGTGGCGGGCTGTTGACAGAGGTTTCTGTCCCGCCCGATCCTGCAGCCATTCAGTCCCAAATAAACACACAGAGGTCTACATTAACTATAAACGTTTGGTCTATTAGCTCGGGTGTCTTACTAACTCCTATAACTTACATTAACCCATAATTCTTGTCTGTGTTAGCCACCTGGCTTGGTTCCTTTTCTCAGCAAGGCATTCTTATGTTGCTTCCGCTCTGACTGGGTGACGACTGCAAACTGAGCCTTTCCTCTTCCCAAAATTCTCTTGTTCTGGTTGACCCACCTATACTTCCTGCCTGGCTACTGGCCAATCAACATTTTCTTAAACCAGTACAACTGACAAACCTTGACAGGATATAAGATTATTGTCCCACAGTACTCCCCTCCCCTTTTTTAAAAAACAAGACCTCTGAATCTAATCTTTATTTAGCTTTTTTTCCTGACCATTATCCACAATAATTTGTAGCAGAGACAAAGATCCATAATCCATTTTGTGGGGGAATGTGGGCGTAGCTTTCCAGGCTACTTCCTGCTGGTTGGGGGTGCTGATAACCTTGATAATTATGGTCAAGTCCTGACAAATATTCTGTGAGGCTTGATCATTTCCGCCAGCAGTCTTGAGGCTGTTCTGGATGTAGATCTCAGACATCTGGACCATCTCCTATTGGGGATTTTACAAGGGTTCTTCCTTGATCAAATCTGATTTTTCTTAACAGAATAAATCCACAGCCTCTCATTTCCTGTGGAAACAAAAGCAAAACCTCTTCTCCAAGGTAACATATCCTTTGACTTAAATTTTGAAGTCAAAACATTTTCAAAATACATATGTCGGATTAATGCAGCAGCATTTATAATCAAATGTCTTTTAGCAGCTGTTGCTCCTTCCCAGCAGTCAATCAATTCAAAGACAACACAATAACATACAGTATCCAGATTTTGTGTATTTTCCATCTTTATGTGGTTTTATTTTAAAATCTATTTCTTTTCTTTTTAATTTTTTTTTCTCTGTGTATTTTGGCTGTCCTTGAACTCACAGAGATACACCTGCCTCTGACTCCCAAGTGCTGGGATCAAAGGTGTGTGCCACCATACCCAACTTCTCTCTCTCTCTCTCTCCCTCTCTCTCTCTTTCTCTTTTAAAGACTATCTTTTTTCTTTACTCTCCCAAACCTACAATATTTTTAAACACACTGTAAACCATTTAGAGGGATTTTTTTTTGTCTGAATCTATCTTTACTGTATATCTCCCCTTTTCTGACTATGTGAGTCTTTAATTTTCTAAGCGATATGGCAAGGATTAAAACCGTGGCTTTGACAACTGAATCCACCCCATTCCTTAGATTTCTGAGAATCTAGCTTCATGGTGGAGGTACTGGCAGGAGCCACAGCTTAAATATCAACCAACAAAGTAATGAAACACCAGCAAATAGTTTACAATGTGTAGAATCAGCTGGGAATCCTGATTTCACCAAAATGAGAGTGGGACAAATAGGGAAACAAAATCAAATCTTTGTTAAAAAAGAAGAATTTGGCATTGGTAATTGTTCTCGAGAAGGAGATCAGCCCAGTCAGCCCCGTCTTGAGATGATGGAAAATGAAGTGGCTGGAAAACAGCTTAAGATCGAAGAACTAACTTGAGAACGAGAAGACCGGTGAGCCACCTGTGGGCCTCAAGGAAAACAAAGGTTATACAAAGTTGAAGCTGCTGTTAAGCGAGAGATGGCATCATCTCTCAGCTGATAGCTAACCTGCAGCAGGCAAACAAGGAAAAGGAAGCGACAATAAGAGAGTTTTCCAAGTTAACAAAGTAAAAAATTACGGATTGAATTCCAACATCTTGAATATACAGAAGTTACACAGACCCAGTTGGTGTGTGAAACGGTTAGACAAAAACAGGAAGCAGCAGGGTCACTTAGATGCATAGAAGAACTCCAGGAGCAACTTCAGGATGAGTCCAGCGCCAGAGAGCAGCTGGCTGTGGAGCTAACAGAGCTGAAAATATTGGTGGATATTCAGATAAAAAACTTGCTTTTGAAAGAGAAATCCAGGGAAAATCGTATGCGATAGATCATCTAGAGCAGCAATTGTTACATGCGAACCGGAGACTGCAGGAACTGGAAGCTGAGCAACAGCAAGTGCAGGAGGAGAGAGGGCTGCTGTCCAGGCAGAAGGCGGCCATGAGAGCGGTGGCAGGCCCAGTGGAGCAGTGGCCGATAAATGCTGCAGTTGCTTCAGCTCCAGGAGGATTTCTACAGGAGACAGAAAAGCTAATGAAGGAAAAACTCCAAGTAAAATGTCAAGCGGAAAAAGTACGCAGTGAACTCCAGAATCAAGTTAAAATTCTCAAAATAGATGTCGAAGAAAAGATCGGTCAGCTCATAGAAATGGAGCAGGAGAAATATGTTGAATCAACAGACCCGAGGGAGCAAAACCTAGCCCTAGAGAAACAGAAAATTTGAGAAATTTTTTTGAAGAGCAGACAGCGCACAGGAAACATGAAAGAGATACCTTCCAAGTGGAAACACAGAAACTGTGTTAATTAAACCACTGCTTGGCCTATTAGCTCTAGCTTCTTTTTGGCTAGCTCTTATACCTTAATTTAACCCATTTCTATTAATCTGTGTATTGCCATGTGGCTGTGACTTAATGGGTAAAGTTCTGTTCCTGGCATCTGTCTCCTGTGAGCTACATGGCTTCTCCCTGATTCCACCTTCTTTCTTCCAGCATTCAGTTTAGTTTTCCCTGCCTAGCTCTACTCTACCCTAGGCCAAGGCAGATTCTTTATTCGTTGACTAATAAAAGCAATGCATTTACAGAAGGACTTCCCTCAACAGTAGGTAGTGGTGGGGGCAAGGGATAACGGGGAGGCATCTCTCCCATGCCCACACTGCTACATTATGGGTGAGTAGAGGGGACAACTCTCCCACACTTACGACTTTGGGATGGCTCATCCTCACCTATGTCAACAGGGTTGGCTCTGTTGTGCTGCTCCAAGGAGGTGCAGGGCCTGCTCTACTGAGTGTTGCAGCTGGCCAGGGGCAGAACCAGCTGTCCCACCTCAGGTATTGATGGGGGAGCACTAGGTCACCCCTACTCATGTTCTCAGGGTTGACTCACCTCAGCCCTCATCAACCGGGTCAGCTACATTAGGCTGCTCAGATGAGGTGCAGGCCTGCTTCCCCAACTGTTTTAGCTGGAAAAGGGGTCAGTTCTCTGGCCGTCTGAAGGTGGTAATTGGGAAGGGAGAGGACATCTTTCTCTCCCTCCTACACCACAACACAGATGAGGGAGGCTGTACCAGTTATTGGTCTTTGTTTTTAAAAAGACCACAGAAAGCAATCCAACTGATAGTTTTGCTTGGGTAGGGGACTGTATTTATAAGTAGTCATTTAGAAAACCTCTATGTAATGAAGATTATTTCATTTCATTGAACATTTTTAGATCAGGATACCTACAATATCTAAGCTATTCAGCAAGCTGGGGATATAGTATTAGCTGTTGCTAAGTCTCCAGTGTCTAATACAGTTTGTGCTACAGCAGATATTTAAAGAGACACGACTCATTTTTTTTGTTTATTTTTTTTTAGTTGTTGAAAAAAAAATTTCTGCCTCCTCCCCGTTTCCCATTTCCCTCCCCCTCCTCCCACACATCGCCCTCTCCCCTTCTCCCTCTCCCCCCCACTCCATTCCCCCTCCCTCTCAAGAATGAAGAGCAGTCCAGATTCCCTGTCCTGCGGGAAGTCCAAGGTCCTCTCAC